CAGAAATGGAGACCGCCATGGCACGCCTCACACACATCGCCTCGCCCGACCAAATTCAGACCTGGAGGGTCGCCACAGTGCCATAACCGCCATAGGCGACCATGGTGCTCGCCTTTCATGACTATGGTTTTTTTTGCTTATTATTACTCCAATAAGACTCCACATTTGGCCCAATATTCTTTCATTACATGGAAAGTTGAACCTTATTTTGAGACATACCAGTAAGGGAAGTGTGACCTTTTTTCAAATGATGAATTAGTAAGTTGTATCATATCAGTGAGAGTCGTATTTAACTGTTAACACTAACTGCATCCTGCATTGTTCAGTTTTCAAAGACACGTTCCTCTATTCATGCTTTCATTGATCAATTTAGAATTGCTCACATGTATCTAGCATGAGTGCACTACGGGTCTACGGTCTCTAACAGACCATTATTAGCAAAGCATATTTGTGGCCCTTTATTTGCTTCATGAATTGTTCGTTTTACCAGCCAGAGCCAGATGAGATTGAGAAAATAGCAGCAGAAGGGATCTTGACCTGTTTACAGGATACCATAGATTCTCTAAAGCAAGGAAAGGTATAATTTTGTTTCTTTGGCGCATTTATTCTTTGGGAGCATAAAGCTTCGCGGCTGTTCTAAATTTGAAGTTTACAAGTAACATCACTGATTATAAACAATATTAGTTCAAATGCGTCGTTTTCTAGAGCGTCATGATGGGCAAATATTTTGCACCTGACAATTCTTTTTGTGGCGTATCTAATGCCTTTTGCTTGTAATAGTGAAATGTCTAACTGAATTGAATTTACTGAGATTATGTCCTACATGGACTGAATTCTCTAAACATATATTTAAAATGTATGGAGCATTTGGACTATCTTAAACTCCTAAGACATTATATCTTGAAAATGAGAATAAAAGTGCCGTTTCGTTTATACTTCAGTTAAAATTTTGCCCAACTTTGTTCAACATGTGTCCGTTACCAATGAAATTGACTTTGTTTCGGCTTTGGCCTTCAGGTAAACACTAGACTAAACCAAAGTGCACACACTAATATTCTTCTGCTTCTTAATGCCGAAATAGCACTGCGAAAAGACCAATAAGCCAAATGAATGGATTACAAAATGAGAACTGCTATATATTGTCTTCTCTTTTCTTTTTTTAGGATGTGCAACAAATTACAGAGCAGTGGGCGTGCATCCCTCGCGCAGTTGAGGAGCTGGCAAAATTTCAAGCTAGTGAAGGTCATGGGGCCACCCGGGTACAAAAGGAAGATCTCTGCAAGCAAGCTGAAACCTGCAAACAGGTTTATGAGCAAGAATTCAGAAGCAGAAACCAGTCACAAACCAAAGGGAGGGAGCCAAGCATTACAGGTACTTGTGATAGTGATGAAACAATTGAGATGACAGAAGAGGAAATTGATAAAGCTTATGATTCTGTGTGCTCCACAATTCCAAAGTGGTAATTAGCTTTGTCTTGTCCTGTCTTTTTGAGCACTCTCTATGTAACTCCTGCTTAATTTGTACCTAAGGGATTATGCTCAATAAATATGCCCCCCCCCCTTAGTTTCTTTCTTACTACCCATTTTTGTTCCTAAAATATCAGTGGGGTTTAAATGGCATGGGAGGCCAATGTCATCCTATGACACCATACCATTTTGAGGAATCTATAGGACTCCATTTGACCTTGAATTCATTTTTCACCACAAAAACCCCCCACCCTGGCCAACCCCTACCCTCACCCCCTACCCCATGGCTCCACATCAATTTGGGGCACCGTTCATAGTGGATGGTGCTTTAAATTGATGGGGGATGGGAGATTTTTAGAGGTAAGAATCATTTCGAGGTCAAACACAGGAGCATTGTACGCTCAAGTGGTTTAACCACTTTTATCACTTGTATCAATTATCACTCGCTTGTTGATAACGGAATTAGGGATTAGTTAGATTACAAGTGATGGTATACTCAATCTTTGGCCATTAGCGTATGGATTTAGTGGTGTTTCTTCGTGTTAATAAGTTAGTTACAATTGCTTATAAACTATTTTTAATTTATAAGTCAGCTGATAATAAGTTGGTTACAATTTACCTACTAATTTTTGAACTAATATTTGTATTTTTCCTTTTTGATTAGATTATTTATAAAATCATTTATCATCATTTATGAATATTCATAAATAACTTATCTATCATTTATGTCATTTTATTTCCATATTTAACTTATAAAGAACTTATAAGTTAAAAATTACTTATAAGTGAGCATTCATCCATTAACCTCATTAAAGTTAACCAATTATCATGTCTAACCTCATGGGAATGGTTACTTCATTTACGAATTGGGTTTCATTCGACCATCTCAAGGTGGGCTTCAGCAGAATGAGAATCCTCCTAGGCCCATCTAGTGATTTTCCTGTCTGTAATAACATGGGCTGAGTATATTGGGCCTAACAATTTCTTAGATTATCGGTCAACCCAATGTACATACCACGTGCCCCCTTGTTTTGTCTGTGTATCCAATTAAAGTGAGACACAAAAAAAAGAAACTAGAAAGGTTTTAAAGAAGTTATAAGGAATTTAAAAAAATTAGAAAAAGCCGAGAACAATTGAAAAAGGTTATAAATAGTTGGAAAGATTTGAAATAAATATTATATTGTGTAAAACCTTTTAATTTCATTTTTTTATCAAAGTGACTTAAAATCTCGTTGTTTCATTATTATCATCTCTTTTTACGTTTTATATGTTCTTTCGATTGGTAAAAAATGTTTCAAACCTTGTTTGTCCGTCTAAAAGGTCCATGTTTACTTTTGAGCATATTCTACCATGGACCTAAGATCTACGTTGTACCTACAGATGAAGCCAATAAGCATTTGTTTAAGGAAAAATTACTCAAAATAATCACAACTTTACCTGGTGTTTCCAAAATAATCCCACCTTTCACTGTGATGCATAATAATCCCAACTTTACTGAAATTTGCCAATTTTGGATCGACGTTAAGTTTCTAATGGAGGGTTAACGGAAATGCCCGTTTTGGGCAACAAAATGAAAGTTGGGATTATTTTTAATGAATTTTCATTTTTTTCATTTTTTTTAATTTTTTATTTAAATTTTTTAAATTACTTTCTACCTCCATCATCATTTCTTTTTCCTTTTTTAAAGATTAGTCTTAGTTTAAAAAATAAAAATAATAGATATAAAAAATGAAAAAAATGAGAAATGTAACTAAAATAATACAAAAATAATAAAATAAATAAGGTAATCATTGGAAACTAACTTGAAATTGGTAAGAATAAAATAAAAATATACGGGTGGGTTTTAATATTTTACGTATTATACAAAGTATTAACATATCACTAATTTTTTAGAAAAAATTATCTACAATAATTCCAATTTTACCGGACGGCTTGTTCTTTTAAAAAATAAGTAGTATATTAAGACTTCGTATAGTGTGTAAAATGTTAAAACTCACCACTCCGTATATATTTATTTTATTTCTTCCCAGTTTCTGTTTAATTTCCATTGATTACATTATTTATTTGATTAATTTGTACTTTTTTAGTTATTTTTGTCATTTTCATTCTTTTTATATCTATTTTTTTCTAAGGTAAGAATAATCTTTAAAAAAGAAAAAGAAATGGAGGTTGAAAGTAATTCAAAAAATTTAAATAAAAATTTCAAAAAAATTAAAAAATAAAAATTCATCAAAAATAATCCCAACTTTCATTTTGTTGTCTAAAACGGGCATTTCCGTTAACCCTCCGTTAGAAACATAACGGCGACCCAAAATTGGCAAATTTCAATAAAATTGGGATTATTATGCATCACAGTGAAAGATGAGATTATTTTTGAAAGACCGGGTAAAGTTGGGGTTATTTTGGGTAATTTTTCCTTTGTTTAATGTTGAAATTGGCATTTAGAACCGAACAACTAAAAATTGAAATGCCAACCCTAGTAGCATTTTATTTAGCAATTCACCCCCTTTTCCGTTTTTACCCTTTTTTGGTGCTGCGTCTCTCTGTGATCCTCACGGCACCGGAAGTTTTCCTAACTTTCTCTCTGCAATTCCCTCCCGGCACCTCTCTGGCTTTCTCTCTGCAATCCTCTTTGCACCGGAAGTATGTATATTTTTGAGTAAATTCCATAAAAGGTCCTCAGTTATAGGTCGTTTTACATATTTAGTCCCTACATATCAAATATTACTAATTTGGTCCCCAATTATTATATTTATTTCCACGAATGGTCCTTTGTTAACATTTTCGTTAAAACGTGGATAAAATTATAAATTCACACTCCTTTCTCTTCTCAATTAAGCTTCCTCTTTCCTTGTACTCCTTTTTCAAACCCGTCGTTGAGTTTCTAGCTTTGAACCCTAAACCAAAATTATCATTCTTCTCACAATTGTTTGTCTAACTAGAGGAACGATCATTTAAGTTTTGGGTTTAAAAACTTCAAACTCAGCGACGAGTTTGGGAAAGAGTATGAGAAGATGAAGAAAGCTTAATTGAGGAGAAAGAGAAGTTTGAATATACAATTTTGTCCACGTTCTTAACAGAAATGTTATTAAAGGACCATTCATGGAAATAAATATAATAATTAGGGACTAAATTAGTAATATTTGATATGTAATGACTAAATATGTAAAACGACCTATACACAAAAAAATACACAATATACATAAGGGAGTATAATTTAAAAAGGGACTAAGGGAGTATAATTTAAAAAGGGATTTTGGAAAAAGCTAGCCACGATTAGCACTTAGCAGGAGATTATTGTCATGATCAAGATGTTTTGTGAATCCCATAATAAATAATTGAATTCTATAGATTTGCATGATTTTTTCTATTCTCTTGTACAACAATTCTACCTTTTTTAAATGCTGTGATTCTGCTTTATATTTCTGCAATTTTGGGTCTCATCTGTAATTCTTTTTTTTGTTCCCCTTGCTGCTTTTCTTGCTTTTTTTGTTGCGATTTTATTTTTTTCTGATTCTCTTGCTGCATAATTACAACTATTATGTATGAAATGACATTTTTTTGCTGCGATATATTGATTGAAAAATTAGGTACTAGTAAAAATTCAATTTTCTATACTGCAATATCTATATTTTTTGTTGTGTTGAGATGGTATGAGAAGTCGAGAAATGAGAAACATCCGTAAGAATATTACTTCTAGTTTGATGGCGAGAATATCTCATTAGTAAAAAGTCGAGAACTTGTTTGATTTTTTGTCACTTCTAATGCTCATGTCGTCTCAAAAGATATTTGATACTTCAGATTGTGATCTATTTATTTAATTTTTCGAATAATTTATTTAATTTTTTAATTTAAAATTGGTGTGATATTTTTATATATTTGTGATATCATATTTAAAAAAGTAGTAGTAGTACTAGTAAAATTCTCAATCCCAGATTTGTGGCCCACACTCCAAATTGTCAATCTGGGTGGGGGCCGAAGAGAATGGGTGGAGTAAGCTTAGGTAAAAGGAAATAAATATGAATGAAATATTCAAAATCTAGAAAGATATCACGATGGGTAAGAACAAGAATTATATTCTCATTAGAATTTGTAAATTTTAAAACTATATGTCGAGGTACAAGATACCATAGTGATCCATCATCTAGATATGGAGTAGAAACATTTTATTTCTAAATTTGAAGTTACGATGAAAAATCTTTCGTCTTTTAAAATTATATTTTTTCTAAATTGGTATATCAAATACGTATTCAATAAAACCATACGAATAAAGAAAAAGATCGAGAGGAGAGAAAAATTATAATTTATTTTAATAAGTGCACAATTCTTTTGACATTGAACATTCATATTGATGTAGTTGGATGTCAAAAGATAAAATTAAAGAAATCGAGACTATAATAAAGAGAATAACTAAAAGTAATCTTAGTTTGTAATTGCCTATGGTTGAAAAAAGAATTTCTTTTACTGAATAGTTTAACTTTTCTTTATGAAAACATTCTAACCTTGAATTTTGAATGTAATTAATCTACCATGCAAATCTGTATTGGTATGACATGGATAATATATAAGGAGTATTTATTTTCTGTAACGTAACATTAGTTCTCTATAAGTTTTAATTTTCTTGGGTTTATAACTTACACTTATAACAATGCCTTAAATTTTATGTCATGAGTATGTTCAATTTGTTCGCTTGTGCGTTCTCATTTCTCAAGACATTGTTCTTTCTAATGAAACGTACATAATTGATTATTCTATCCACCTAAAACTTTAGCTATTGAATTTATAATCTAATTAGATTTTGAAGTAATTTTTAATTCAATATAAATAAAAAAAATTATACATTTTTAGACTAGATCAAAAGTTTTTTAAAGAAAATGGTGACACACACATTATTAATAGGTTTGGTATAACATTTGATACAATTTTTCACATTTTTTAAGATTATTGGAGTTTGATTTTAAAAAATCAAACCGAACAAATGCAATAGTATACGTATGAAGTACATGATCATATGCATAAGAAACTAAAACATGGCAAAAAAAAAACAACTAATGCATGGCTAAATGGGTAATTATTTAATGTGGTTAAGGATAATGTGACGTCGAAACTGTGATTATTTTTTTTTTTCAAATTTGATTGGCAGCTGGAAGAGTTAAGGCACATCACAGATGGCCGCTTAATGTTACCACAGTAAGCTCCAAAATTATTCTATACGTACAATTTTTTGGGAATATGTAAAACGGGAAAAAATTTATTTGTGCATTTATGATTTCTTTCTTTGAGATGAGAAGTGCAATCATTATTATCATTTTTTGGATTTTCATATATAATTATTTTATATAATATTTTGAAATTTAAATTGGTTTGTATTTGAAAAAAAAACTGAAATAAAAAAATACTTCCTCCGTTCCACAAAACACTTCCGTTTTAATTTTTTGCGCTGCCCATAAAATACTTCTATTCCACCTAAAATGTTTATAATACCCCTAAAATAACTTTTACCCGCAATAAATTACATAGTGCAAATTTCACTTGAAAAAAATGAAAGATACGGGAAGGAATAGGAAGAACTAAAAAAAACTGAAAAAATTGTTATAAGGATTTTATTTAAATTAATAATAACATTTATGGATTGCTAATCAAATACTCCGTAATTTGAAGGGCCATNCCCCCCCAAAAAAAAAAAAAAAAAATACTCCGTATTATGAATGATGCACCAAAATAAAAAAGGGCCCATACATCATAAATATAATGAAGACTACGCACGATGGTGGTAGTTGTGCATTTATAATGTTACACAAATATTCTCCAACACCAGATACGTACAACACATTTGTAAGGAGATGTCTAAAGAGGAAACTATTAATTTAAAATAAGCATTAATAATAAGCATTTCGTGCAAATTTTAAAATAAAATTAATTTAAAAAAAACACTAGCATTGCGTCTCATTTTAGTTTCTATGTACTCCCTCCATTCCACAAAATTCTTCCTCTTTCATTTTTTTTTTGCTTTCCACAAAACACTCCCACTTTCTATTAAAACCCCATTTTTACCTCTACTTTTTTATACTCTACCTATCACATCATATTCTTTAGTAATAACCAAATTATCACATATTACTTTTTCCCATCAAATCCGGGGCAAAATTGGAAAATCAACCAAAATTACACTTTCTTTATTTTTCTCCAAAGTTAAAACCGGAAGGATTTTGTGGAATGGAGGGAATATGTTATTTTGGGACAGAATGAGTATATCTGAAAACATAAATATGTTTGTGCCTTGCACAAACTATTATTTTTTAAAGAATAAATTACATTAAAAGTCAGCAGTTATAAGTCGTTTTATATATTTAGTCACTACAAATCAAATATTACTAATTCAGTCCCCAATTATTATACCATTTTTCATTAATTATCCTTTGTTAACATTTTTGTTAAAAACATGGATAAAACTGTATATTCATATATCCTTTTTTTCCCTCAATTTCATCTATCTTCTCGTACTTTTTCTCAAACACGTCGCTAAGTTTGAAGCTCTAAACCTTAAATTATTTGTGAATAAATATGATATAAATCGAGCTAGGATAAGAATTACCCAAAAACAGTTTTAAAAAAACTTTTTAATGAAAAGTGCATAAGAAATTTATGGTGACCGGTGAGATGAAGAGTGTTGTGCTATCACATCATATTTTTTTTTCTAATAATCTATATTTGTCAAATTTTACTTTTACATACTCATCATATTAAAGACAAAATTAAAAGTCAAATAAAACTGAACACTTTCTTATTTTTGCATTTGGTCAATATTGGAACTCTTTTTTTTAAACTGGGTAATTAACTTTTGCTTCCCAACGCAACATAGAGTGTGGGCGTGTCCATGGGTACGTAATAGCATAGAACTGAACACTTTCTTATTTTTGCATAAGATTATATATTAATAATCTATATGTTAAGACAAAATTATATTTAGGTTTACACATTGAGAGAATTTATGAGTCAAAGTGCTTAGATGAACAGTTCCAAAAGTCAAAAGTGGACAAAGAGAGTGGGAAGGAGGTAGGTAGTAATATTCATTCCTAAGCTAAGCTGACTATATACACACACATATATATAGCTCCTTTCTGGCCAGCCATAGCCCTGCATCTCTCCATCATTATCTCTCACTGGCTATCAATTCAAAGAAGAGAATTGATCGAGAAGAAAGCACAGAACTTAATTGCTTATTCTCACTCACCTACTTCCCCAATTCCCATCCATACCTATCCGGCCAACACCATACCATCATATGGCTTCTTCTTCATCTTCTTCCCAGCATCAGCAGAGCATGATGATGATGATGATGATCAGTTTCTTCTTCTTCTTGTCTGTGCTTCTACTCTTCTCCCTGCTGCAACTACCCACTACTGTCTCCTCCAAGCTCCACATTCTGGAGAGTGTGGGCCAAGGCTGAAGGGGCAGTCTGCCTTGATGGCTCCGCCCCCGCCTATGAGTGGGAGGTCGCCAAAGACGACGCCAACAGAAGGAAATGGCTCGTCTACCTCCAAGGTTCCGGATGGTGCTTGAACTCCACCGTCTATCAAACCCCAGACAACACTATTGAGAGCTGTCGTAGTCGGTCGGGCTACCACTTACCTTGGCTCTTCCCGCTACATGAACGCCTCTGTTTTCCAGCATTTCTTTGGCGCTCGCTCGAACGACACTTATTTCTATAAGTGGAATCGAGTGATCGTTAGGTACTGTGACGGAGCCTCGTTTGCCGGCGACGCCGACAAACCCGATCCCGTCACGAACCTCTACTACAGAGGTGCTAGGATCTTCCGGGCCGCCGTCAGGGACCTGATGGCAAGAGGAATGGAGGATTCTAGCAACGTTCTTCTCGCCGGGGGGTCGTCTGGCGTGATGATTCACTGTGACGGCTTCCGGCGCATGTTCTCCGCCGGCGTTCGAGTGAAGTGTCTCGCCGACTCTTCGCTCTTCCTTCACGTGAAAGACCCCGTCCGTGCAAAGTTCTTCGACACCGTTTTCGGCACCATGGTGGGGATGCAACACCCCGGCGGCGCGTTACCCACCAGGTGCACTTCGAAAAAGAGTGTCAAAACGTGTTTCTTCCCCCAAGAACATGTTGCGCTACATCGATTCGCCGATGTTCATTGTGAACCCAGCGTTCGATTCATTTCAGGTGAGACACACGTTTTCGGAGGATTTGCACGACCGGATCAAGTACCGTGAGGTCGTGACTCCGAGAGAAATGGCGCTGCTCCGTGATTTCAGGCGGCAAACGATTGCGGCATTGCCCCCGGCGAGTGCGAGAAATGGATACATACTCACATCCATATTCCAGCGCAGCTTGGCTTCGGGCATCGGGTATAAAGGACCCATGTTTGCCGACCCGAAATCCAAGTCTTTCGAGAGCGCGTTTCTGGACTGGTACTTCGACCGGGCGCGGGTGCATTTGGTCGACCCTGCGGACAAACCCTTTGTTCCTTAATAAAGCCGGCGGCCAATTAGTATGCACTTCATTGTTGTTATTATTATTAAGTGTGGGCGTGTTGTGTAGTCCTAATGCAATTAGTAAGGTAAGGCTGTTTGGTTAATGTTAAGGCTGTTTGGTTTTAATGTGTTTTCTGGTAATTAGTAAGTTAGACGCGCGCTAGCTCTTCATTGAATTCAACTCCTTACTACTCACCGTAAGAGCACTGGCATGAAGCCTCAAGGCTTCAAACCGGGGCTTCAAACTCTCTCTTTCTGCCACGTCAGCTTTAACTTACACCATAAATTCACTGGAAATGGTTTTGAAGCCCCGTGGGCTTCAAACTGCGGCTTCAAACCTTCATTTTTTACATTTTTAAATATACATTTTCTAAATTTGAATTAATAAATTTAAATTAATTTATTATTTAATTATATTGAAACACGAATACAAAAAAATAAATTCATTAAATTTAAAGAAATTGAAACGACCATAATTTAAAATTTAAAAAATTACATTCATTAAAATAAAAAATGACAATAATAAAAAAGATACATTAATAAAAAAACTAAGGTAAATTATATTTCGCCTTGATCTCTCTTTATCTTTGCTCGTAGATCATCCGTTTGAAACCCGACAGCGTAGAAAGGTCGGTTTCCATGATTTTGAATAAAAAAATTACATTCATTAAATAAAAAAATTAAATTCATTATAAAAAACTACATTAATTAAATAAAAACATTACATTCATTAAATAAAAAAATTACATACATAAGAAGAAGGCGTGACCATGCCTTCAAAGTGCGTCAAAACTTTGACGCAAGAATTTTAACGCCCTTTTAACGGGGGAGGGGGGCGGTGTTTAACGCCCCCCAGGCGTCAAAATGGTCATAACGCCGAGCAGCGTTAAGGGTAGTACCAGTGCTCTAATATATGGGACATGGTAGGCGTACTTTATAAGTTTATGTCCATATAATTTTAATTTTTTCTTTTCTAAAAATAAATAAATAAATAAAATTAATGTCCTATGCATATAAAAAAGAAGAAATAATTTTTAAAAGAAATAGAGATTAACTATTTTGTGAATAATGAGTACCCCTCCTTACAATTTGAAGATTTGTTAATTACGTATGAATTATGAATGCACGAATAAGTATTTTCCCCTTTTAGACATCTGTATAAAATGTTGTACAAAGCTAGTGATGGACCTTATTTGAATAACATTATAAATGCTTACCTACCTCTCACATCTGATGTGTCTTCCAGCTCCCATCTTTTGCACGCTTTTTTTTTCAAAGTAATACGGACTAATAATAACAACAACAATAATAATAATTATAATTATAATAATTATATTAATAACTCCAACTTTCCAGGCTTTATAGTATTGGACCGCACGTATTTATTTCCAACATACATGAAGGGAAAAATGGATTTTGAACTCAAAATTTTTACTAAAACTAGTATTTTAACATGTGTCATGCATGGAGTGATACAAAATTGTTTGTGATTTAACAATGTGGAATATTAATTTTACTAAAACTGGTATTTTAACCTGTGCCATGCACGGATCAGTATCATTTAAACGTTAAATATAATTATATAAATGATTTAGGTTTGTTGATATTATAAAAATCTATATTTTGTCTTCCCGTATAAATTTAAAAAAAATACAGAAAACATTAGGGATTCTATGAATCTTTTCTCCAGCATAAATTTTGAAAAGCTTGAATTACCGATCTTATGATTCTACGATTTTAAAAGTAGTAATAATAATAGTAATACTAATACTAATAATAATACTAATACTAATAATAATAATAATAATAATAGTTATAATAATAATAATAACAATCATGACAATAATAATAATAATAATTAATAATAACAATAAAACAATATATTTAATTTAAAGTGCAAGTATTTAACATAGCTCTATTTTTTTGGGCACATAGCATTGTCAGGGGAACATGGGCAATCAAGAGAAGTATCAGTACAATTACTTTTCAATATCTGATCACAAAGAGTGTCACAAGTCCCTATTAGAATAAACGGATCATCCGTGCCACCAAATCTTGCAGCATTGACTTCATAGCACACATTGTAACACTTACAAAAGGGCTTTGGATTGCATTCACTCGTTACTCCACCAAATAACATTAATGTGAAAACAAATACTTTCATCCACCCAATCGTCATGATCTTGCCACAAATATCACTTTTCCTGTTCCGAAAGAGTTAAAACTATAGGGATTATGACGATAAAAAATCATAAAGGTGGATTTTTTAAATCATCTTTAATATTCCGTTCGTAAAATTAATGAATCTTGCTTCCTTAAATTCTCAATCTCAGGTCTACCCACACTCCAAATTGTCAATCCGGGTGAGGGGCGAGGAGAATGGGTGAAGGAAGGTAAAAAAGAATAAATATGAAAGAAATAATCAGAATCTAGAAAGATAGTCACGATGGGTAGGAACAATGAATTATATTCTCATTAGAATTTGTAAATTTTAAATTTTAAAACTATATGATGTACAAGATACCATAGTGATCCATCATCTAGATGAGTAGAAACATTTTATTTCTAAATTTAATGTTACGATGAAAAATCTCGTCTTTTAAAATTATATTATTTTCAAATTGGTATGTATATCAATAAAATAAAAAATTACATATTAAAAAATTATTTCGAAATTTCTACATAATGAGCTGAGAGATGACAAGAATACTTTATTTTATCAAATACATACTCAATGAAAGCATACGAATAAAGAAAAAATATCGAGGAGCGAGAAAAATTATAATTTATTTTAAGACGAGGAAAGTATAATAAGTGCACAATTCTTTTGACATTGATCATTGATATTGATGTATTTGAATGCGATGTCAAAAGATATAAAGAGATAAGAGACTATAATAAAGAGAATAACTAAAAGTAACCTTAGTTTGTAATTGTCTATTGTTGAAAAAAGAATTTCTTTTTCTGAATAGTTTAACTCTTCTTTATGAATTCTAACCTTGAATAGTTGAATGTAATTAATCTACCGTGCAAATCTCTATTGGTACGACATGGATAATATAGGTTTATTTTGTGTAACGTAATGCTAGTTCCCTATAAGTTTAAATTTTCTTGGTTTTATAACTTACACTTACAATAACGCATTAATAAAACGTACTTAATTGATTACTCCCTCCACCTAAAACTTTAGCTATTGAATTTATAATCTTAGATTTTGAAGTTATTTCTAATTTAATATAACTAAAAAAAATTTATACATTTTTAGACTAGATCAAAAGTTTTTCAAAGAAAATGGTGACACACACATTAATAGGTTTGGTATAACATTTGATGCAATTTTTCACATTTTTAAAGATTATTTGAGTTTGACTTAAAAAAATAAACCGAGCAAATGCAATACAATACGTAGACCTGACAAAACTGATCCGAACCCGATAACCTGAACCAAATAACTCGGAACCAAATTCGATTTGACCCAAAAAATGAAGAACCAAAATAGAATGGAACACCCGAAATGATCTGAACCGAACCGAATCTGAACCGAATGAATTCAGACCCGATTCAGATCCGAATCCGATTTAACCCGAACCGAATAAACCCGAACTAATAGAACCCGAACCAAGTTAAACCCGGAACCGATTAGACCCGAAATTGATTAACTAAGGGGATGTGAACTTATCAGTTTTATGAACAGAGCACCATAGTTGCCCCAAAACCACTAGTGTCATGAATCAGTGTCATTACACACACACACATATATATATCTGTGTGTGTGTATAGACACACACGCGCGTAGGATCGTACAGTCCAATTCATGATCTTACTAGTTACAATCTTTATTAAGTCCATCGATCCTACATAGAATCTCAAGTTTGACTGTCTTGGAAATGGGAGTGGGAGTGAAAGGCAAAACTAGCGTAGAGGCATTGGAGAAAAATGCGTTGAGGCTTATGCCTCAAGGCAAAATGAGGGGTAAGCCTCAATTCAAGTAGACAAAATAATACTAAAATAAATACTCCAAAGTAAAAAATGCATAAGCTGTTGGACCCCCACTGCAAATAAATGGAAAGAAAATAAAAGAGAACACACAAATTTTTAACGTGGTTCGGCACCTCAAGACCTACTCCACGACCCCCTCTGGGATAAAATCTCACTAGTAATTTTTGCACGGAAAAATTACAAACCCTCTCCAATATTTGACACTCACAACCTAAAATCTAATACACAATTATATAGATTGAAAGATTGTGTTGTGTGATGGAAGCCTATATCTTCTCTTTATTTATAGGCTCCAATCCCTCCTCAATTTTCCTATCCCACCGATGTGGGACTTTGAAGTAACACTCAACAAATCTCCCCTTAATTCAAAGTCCTACATCATTTGCGATTTCTGCAGCGATACTCTCATCCTGCAGAATCTTCTGTCCAGCAGTACTCTTATCTTCATAGAAGATCATCTTCATAAGTGATCACATTTGCGAAAGAAGCTTCCTTCGATTTGCCCTTCTTCTCCTTTAGGATCTGCAAGTCCTCCTTGAGTTCTGGACAACCGTTCTTCGTGTGACCCAACTTTTCACAGTAATAGCACATAACAGTGCTCATGTCTCTCAGCTGAGATCTTCTCCCAAGTTGGTCACTCTTCTTCTTCCTCCCTTTCTCAACACTCACAGCAGCTAGTAAATGACTGTCCCCGGAAGACTCTTCACCTCCCATTATCCTTTGACTCTCCTTCAAGGCAGTCGTCACCTCATCTAGTCGCAGTGTAGTCCTTCCTGCTATCATTGACTGCACAAACGGCTTAAAGGATTTTGGTAGTGAAGCCAGTAGAAGCAGCCCTTGCTCTTCATCCTTGATAGTCTCCCCTGCATTTAACAGCCTTGATACTTGCTCATTAAACTTGTTGACGTGATCAATTACACTACCTCCCTCTTACATCTTCAGTGAGTACAAGTTCATCCTCATCATCAACCGGTTAGTAAGTGTCTTCGACGCAAACTTGCTCTCCAACATTTCCCACAGCTTCTTTGGTGATGTCTCTTTCAGCACTGTCACTTTAATCTGTGGGGACAGTGCCAACCGAATTGTGCTGACAGTCTTTTTCTGGATTGTACTCCACTCTGATTCTTTCATATCACTTGGCTTCTCATCTTGCAATGCTAAATCAAGACCTTGCTGGACCAAATAGTCTTGAATCGTGCATTGCCACAACATGAAGTCCGCTCTTCCATCAAATAACGGAACTTCAAACTTCAAGGTAGTCATAGTTCCACTCAAGCAGCAATCAACCAATACCAAACAATCCAAATTTGAGGAAACTGGCCTCAAAAATGGAATCAGGACGTCAAAATTAGTCAGAACCAACTTCTCTCCGAAAGTCACCAGCGGGACCCACACGATGACTGGACCTACTGATGTGGCGCTGACAGGATGATGACCTGGCACTCGGACCCACAGACTGCTGACGTGGCACTCACGGACCCACCTCTGCTGACTGGACCACCACCTCCTCCACTGAAGTGGCACGCCCTCCTCTTGCTCCTTGCTCTATCTCCTTCCTACCTAGACTGCAACTCTGTAATTAATAATTCTTTTCTGATGTGGAAGATCAGTCAAAGCTGCAACCACAGAGCATACTAAGAATTATAATTACCAGATCACCCGGGCTCTGCACCTTGGCTCTGATACCACTTGTTGGGCCCCCACTGCAAATAAATGGAAAGAAAATAAAAGAGAGCACACAAATTTTTAACGTGGTTCGGCACCTCAAGACCTTCTCCACGACCCCCTCTGGGATAAAATCTCACTAGTAATTTTTGCACGAAAAAATTACAAACCCTCTCCAATATTTGACACTCACAACCTAAAATCTAATACACAATTATATAGATTGAAGGATTGTGTTGTGTGATGGAAGCCTATATCTCCTCTTTATTTATAGGCTCCAATCCCTCTTCAATTTTCCTATCCCACCGATGTGGGACTTTGAAGTAACACTCAACATAAGCTATAACCATATCAATCATGTCATAAAATCATACAATGGTCAATTTTAGGATTTAAAATACAGGAAAAAAATGATAAAATTGGATTTAAAGCAATTTCTAAACCAAAATTAGTCTAATACATTTAAATTTCAACTACAAATAAAGATGAAATTTTAAGTTAAGCAAACTTCTGAGAAATTAAATAAAAATCAAAGATTAAGAGGGAGAGTGATATTGGAATAAAATAAAACACCCACTTGGCATTGAGGGGCGTGCGCCTCATATCTCACAACTGAGGCTTAAAGTCACCGCCTCAGATGCCGTTTAAAACCATGATGATGATGATGATTATAACAATAATAATAAGCAACATAGATATGAGATAACAAGAATGATTTTTGGAAAACGCAAGAAAAAGTAATACCTACGTTCCAGAGTATTTGTCCTGCTCCAAACCTGTTTATAGCAAGTACTACCTACGTTCCAGAGTATTTGTCCACTTTCATTTTTACATACCATCCAATGCACTTCTTTAATCAATTTTATCTTGTAATTTATATATTAAAAAATTATAGAAATTATATATTAATAATCTATATGTTAAGACAAATCAAACAAGATCACACATGACTATATTTAGGCTTACACATTGAGAGAATTTGATGAGTCAAAATGCTTAGATGAACAGTTCCAAAAGTCAAAACTGGACGAATACTCCGGGACGGAGGGAGTAATTATTAAAAGAATGAGACTCTACAGGACAGAAAAATGCTCCCGGGTATACTCTATTTTGGTAAAAATTATTGGGTTACCATATTTTACAAAACGCTCCAAGGGTACTTAAAATTTGATGTAATGTACTCTGAGGGTACATTCCATAAATTCCACCATAGGAGGGGTGAATTGACCGAAATACCCATAAAAATTCATTTTGGAACCGCTCTTCTTTTTATTCTTCTTTCCTTTTCCAAAATGACATTTTTTAAGAATTTACTATGTTTTCAATGTACAAGTGTTTTGCTAATTTTATTAGTATCTGTTTTGATTACTAATGACTAAAAATTAATGACTCAAAATTAGCAAAACACTTGTACATTGAATAAAAAGAAGAGCGGTAAATTGATTACTGTCCCGAATCAGATACTAAAAAAAATTGGTTTTGGAACGACTGTCCCCAAAAGAAGGTTGGCAAAAAAATAGAGGAAGATTCGCCATAAAGAAGGTTAGTGTTATCTCCCACATTAATTTAAAAAAAAAAAAACATTCTGATTCCACAAACATCACATTCCTTGAATCTTTGTCTACTATCCAAATTCTCAAGAAGAAACATGCTGTTTTTTTTTTCAGGTTTGTTCCAAATCTTCAACCGATCTCACCCATATTTATAATAACTCTGACACTACAGTGTCAACACTTGAATCTGTCACATCACAACTCAATATGGTGCCACAACTGCCTCCATTACAAGTTTATCAGTCACCCAAGTCCTCCTCTAGAGGTTCAGGAGATTCCAATCTAAAGCACTTCATCTTGTGCTTTGAAGCCAAACCACAACAATCTACAGATTGCTTTCCAAGAAGGTACACAATCCACTCTTAACCCATATCTCATTTCTAATTTTCTCAACTATCAATAAGTCACTACTTAACATATTTCACTTCTCATCTTTCTGTTGCTCTAATTCCAAAGAGAAATCATGTGGCTCTTCCACATCTGGACAGGAGATGGGCAATGGGGATAGAGAAATGGAGACTCTTCAGTCTAGTGGCACATGGAAAGTTGTCCCACTCCCACCAAACAAGATAGCGGTGTGTATGATGTATGGTAATATTGAGTATTGATTGCCTTAAGGTTTTACTCTATTTGAACCAGTTTTTGATTGAAAATTCCAAATTTGTTTTGAACACACTTTTTATAAACAAAATGACAACTTTGAGATATTTACAAAAGAAAATCATTATTTTTATTTTAAATTAAATTTATTTTTACACTAAACATTTAAATATGAGTAAAATAATAAGTACAAAATGTGCTTATCAAATTCCTCACACTTCAACGTTGCTTGCCCTCAAGCAACAAATTGAATAACTAAAAGAATTAGGACAACTTAACACATGAACGAGAAATATTTACACAATCTATTTGTAGGAATAAGATATTGGACAGTCATCAACTTAATTTTCTAAAAAGAAGTTTATACCCATATTGTTAGAAAATAAATCGATTGTCAAACTCGTATTTTTATACAAATTTAATCAATTCAGGTTTGTATGATCAAAATTTAGGAATGTTGGTGTTATCAAAATCATGTTCTGGAAATTTTAAATAATTATTTTCCAGTTACTTAAGTATTTTACAAGGTCAAAGAATCTTTAATGATTGAATATTCACTCAAAAGCTTCATCACACGACATAGAACCGCATGCTTTTTGGCACTCACCCAAAATAAGTCTCATCATCTGATATAGAACCAAATGTTTTTTTTTTACTTTGAATTTTCTCTAGAACTCGGTCTCACCATAGTGTGTTGCAAAAAATGTTTTGTTTGAAAAAAAACTTTTAAAGAAACAATAAGTGCTCATATTTTGAAGACTAGCGGAGCAGTATCTTAACATATTTCTAATAAAACAATTAAAAATTAATTGACCTTACAAAATATTTTGTGCAGAATGAATATTTATTGAAAAATTAGAAAACATGATAATAATTCTACTGTTAGACCAAAATTTGTCAATTTTGTACCAAAAATTTTCAAAAATTTGCACAAAAATCTAAGTTTGACAAAAAGTTTTAAGTTTCCTGATTTTTAGGGTAATAGAATTTTTCTTAGAAAACTGAAATTGATGACTGTCTATATAATTTTCCTACAAATATAGAGATAAATTATATTCCTAAAAAGTAATTCAACCATAACTTTATCCTCCTCACACTTAAAGAGAACCGCGCCCTTGCGGTATTAAAGTGATCAAAAATTAGAGTTATGATGAAAGAACTCTGATGCAAATACTAAGTTGTCCTCACACTTAAAGATAAACAAAATGCTTATGTAAATAAAAGTAAATAAAAATAAAAATAGTTTACCCAAGATGTGTTCAAAACAAACTGAATTTCCGATCAATCAATCCTGAGTCAAACAAACAAAACAAAAGAAACATATTAGTGCAAGGGAATGGCTCACTGCCCACGTCCTCGTCCGCGACCCTGCCCTTTTTGGCTAGTGGAGTCACGAACTCCATACTGCTGCTCCATGAAATCTAGGATCTGGGCGATATGTGTATCATGTTGTGATAGAGTGTCCTCTATGCGCTGCTCATGGTCCTGGTTTCCTTCCAGCGAGACTCCTGATTGCGCTCAAAGGCAGTCCACCGCTCCTCATAACGCTGGAAGAGTGAATCAATCGATGCCCGGAGATCACCAAAAGCAGCGGTCAGCTCGTGGAACGTAGTATGCAAGGGACGTGGAACAGCGGAGGAAGAGGCTCCATCTGTGGGCATGCTCTTCGGCATGTATGAAGGACTGCACGTGCATGTGCCCTGATTTAGCTGGTATGTAGTGTCGCGTGGTCTCTTCCTGAATCCCATATGAATAAGAGACTCAGTAGTGATGGGCCGCACACTAGACTGCTCTGGAAGAAGGGTCGGGATGACGATGTCAGGAAACAAGGGCTCGAGTCAACAGAGTGACAATGGATCCTGCGTGGATGTGATGGCGGTTCCTTGTCGACTGAGCAAACAGGAAACGCCCAACAAAAGAGGAAAGGTCCACAACTGTGTGGCTCTCCAGGCTCCAAAAGAAAATCAAATCGGTGTCGTAAACTCTGTTGGCGTTCTTATGACGCCCTGCAGCAGAGGATGTGGATGAGTATCCTCCATGCGGGACTCCTCCAATCAGATGAGGGACTGTATTTGTTGCTAAAGTCCCGGGTGCTGCGCGAATGAGTTCCCCAGAATGCCTTGATGTCAACATCCAATAGGAGTTGACGTGGCATCATGAGAAAATTAGGTGAGCGTATCTCCTCGTGGGTATAGATCCCTAGCAGGTATCCCAAATCAAGGATGGGGATATCAAACCTAGTCCCAAGGAGCGTGAATGTCATTCATACTGAGGGATGCACTCTATCCACATCTCGTTCTCTACTCCCATAAGCGCTGAACTTCAGCGAGCAGATAAACTCCATAGTTAATGGGACGCTAGCCGATGCACGGAGTGCTAGCAAGTACATCCATTTGGAGTCATGGAGAAAGTCGTCAACCTCATCCCAGTACCCCATGCTCTCCAATGCTGCATGGTCCAAAATCATAGGCGGTGTCAACACCTTCTTGCTACCCCAATCCCGATATCGATCACGTGCCTCGCAGGTAGCAAAAGGTAACTCCAGTCCACCAGCAGGAAAATTAGCCATCTGCACAAAATTGAACAAACATGTTAAACTTGCCCCCAAATCTGGTATGACAAGTACTCACTTTTTTTGTTCTTTTCACTCACTTCTCTCAACATAAGTGCATCAAAAATGGTAACTGGACTGATTCAGAGTATTCGGGATCGGGAAGAATCCTGCGTGCTCTTAGGCTCACCCGAATAAACCGTTCCTCGAATTAACCTAGTAGGAATGGTTGGACAAGTTCGGCTCCCAGAGGCGTCACCCTTTGTGTCCACTTAAGTACCATTCCAGCTTAGACAGTCATTTTGTACACGGTACAGAAATCACTTTTAACACACAAATGCAATTTGTTTTAAAAGACGGGTTGCCTCCCGTTTAGCGCTTCTTTAACGTCATTAGCTGGAAGCTAGTTTCCTTTTTCAATCCTCCAGAATGTGGAGGTACATTATAGTTCTCTCTCGGGACACATTCTCCCCTTCAAACTTCTTCAGACGATGACCGTTCACCTTGAAATATCTATTCCCCCCCACAATTCTACCATTCCATATGGGTAGACTTTCACAACTTTGAACAGACCAAACCATCGAGACTTCAATTTCCCGGGAAACAACCTCAACCGGGAGTTGTACAGAAGTACCTGGTCCCCTTCATGGAACTCCTTGGACTGTTTAATGTGTGCATTATGATAATTCTTGACGCGCTCTTTGTAAAACAGATTATTGTGGAAAGCCAGCGTTCTCCACTCATCTAACTTGTCCAGTTGGTAGAATCTCTCCCTTCCTGCTGCTCATGAATCTAGACACACATTTCTAAGTGTCCAAAGTGCTTTATGTTCAATCTCGACGGGCAGATGACATGATTTCCCGTAGACGAGATGAAAGGGAGTAGTTCTGATGGGAGTTTTGTATGCAGTTCGGAAGGCCCATAAGGCATCATAAGGCTTGAAACTCCAATCCTTTCGAGTTTTAGCAACGATCTTCTCCAAGATCGCCTTCGGATCTCTATTTGTGTTCTCCACTTCGCCTTGAATCTGGGGATGGTAAGCAACACCCCCTCTTTTTGCAAGGTTATGGCCAAGGGATCATTCCTGAAATGTGTCCCTTTGTCACTTATCAACACCTGAGGTACTCCAAACCTCGCAAATAATTTCTTCAAGAAACGCACCACCATGCGCGCATCATCTTTTGGACAAGCTTGGGCTTTGGCCCACTTCCAGACATATTCGACCGCCACCAGTTCCACATTTTCCTCTGGTGTCATACTAGAAAGAACCAACCTTTGAAGAGTGATCAAGTTCTTTCTTTGATGGCACCATAAGTCCTTGATAAAAATGGAACATAAGGCTATCATCGTCAATCAGAGCAGGTGGACATTTGATTTCAAGTCCTTGAACCTTTCCCATGCCTCGCGTAAAGATTCGGTCGAATCCTGGGTGAAATTCTGGATTGACCGTTTGATTTTGGCAATGGTAGATGGTGGGAAATATTCGCGCATGAAGGCTTGGTCTAGTGCTTCCCATGTTTTGAAATGGCCCTTTGGGAACGTATTCAACCATCGTGCCGCCCTATCTCGAAGTGAGAAAGAAAAGAGCGATAGTTTGATATGATCGGAGGTCACTCCGTTCATCTTCAGCGTCTGACAAGTTCAAGTTCGAGAGAACCATAACATGTGGGCCCTTGGATCTTCCCCTTTCATACCCCCGAACTGATTATTCGAGACCATTTGGATCATGGCAAGTTTAATCTCGAATGTGTGAGCGTCAGTGCTTGGGAGTCCGATAGGGTCTTCTTCAACGTGAGCGGGGCTCATGGCTTGGAGCACAGTTCGCCTACGTCCGTTATTCTCTTCCATATTGGGTTGGTCAACCTCTATAGCTTCTTCTCTCTCAGAATCCTCTCCGGGTGAATTTTTCAAAGTATTTTGTCGGAGAATTCTTTCAGAATTTTCAGTAAATGGAGCAAAACTACCCTCACTAGTTAAGCGGGTTTGCATGTAGTTTTGCCAAAATATGTAAAGATGCTAGAAAATCGACCTAACCAATTTTCTACTAGGCTAACTATAGAAATTTATAATAGAAAAATTAAATTATGCACCAATCCCTGGCAACGACGCCATTTAACGAAATATCACGATGCACACATTAAACAGTCCAAGGAGTTCCATGAAGAGGACCATGTACATTTTGTACTTATTATTTTACTCATATTTAAATGTTTTGTGTATAAATAAATTTAATTTAAAATAATTAATTATTATTTTCTTTTGTAATTATCTCAAAGTTGTCATTTTGTTTATAAAAAGTGTGTTCAAAACAAATTTGGAATTTTCAATCAAAAATTGGTTCAAATAGAGTAAAACCTTGAAGAAAACAAATTTTTCGGAAAACTTGTGCTCAAATTCGTCTGTAGCTTCAGAAGGGAAAAATGTTCATCACAAAATGAGGAACTTGTCGCAAAAATTTGGAGTCAAATGTCAAAGTTGTGCTGGGCACCCTGCCGGGCGCCCGCCCAGGCCAGCCCCGGATTTCAAATGTGAAAATAGACGGTTGGCGGGGCATATTCCCAGGGAATATTCGCATATTTCCTTGGGAATGTTCTATTATTTAAATTGTATACTTTTTATTGTTATTATGTTCTCTTAAACATATTAGGGATGTGAATTGAAATTAGGGTTGTAGAACATGTAGGAAAAATAATTAAGTTGGAATATTGAATTTAATTAATTAAAATGCTAGGTTGTTAGAAATTGTTTTATTATTCTAGTTAATTAATCTGGCCAATTTATTAATTAATCTTGGAAAAATTATTATGTCCATTTGTCTATGAATGAGAAAAATAATTACGTCAACCAATTCTAGCACATTGATTATGCCTAGAGATAGGATAAATTAATGGAATAGTTGTGACAGAACTAATCACTAGCCTAATTAATTAATTAATTTAATCATCCAACTAGTTAATTTATCTAAGAAGTGTCTACAACCTGAAATCGATTCATATTCCCTTTTGTCAAACAAATCTCTACTTTGCCCTATTAAACTGAATTCAATTAAAACTTTTCGAAATTAGAAGGCTTCCAACGCCAGTGAGTATACTTTTCCTAACTAGATTTTAATAGAAAATTTATTTTTACGCCAATCCACGTGAATACGACACGGGAATAAATGGAGCTCTTTTAGAGTAAAATTTAATACCCGCTAAAACTCTTTCGTCTGTATGGTAATATTGAGTATTGATCGCCTTAAGGGCACAAATGGCACAATTGGTTCCACCCAGCCAGCCACCCACCCACCCATATTATTGCAGAGATAGAGCAAAAGTTAGCAATGGATGCAAAAATGACATTTTGTGATGAACCAATTTAGTACTTTCAGGGAGAGTTCAAGGTTAAGCAAAAATACCTTCATCATATCTCCATTTTTCTTTGTTCTTTCTTGCCTCTGAGAGCCTGCTACCTGCCACAAGCATAAAAAAAGATAGAAAATTAGCTCCGAACAAATTCTCACCCAAGATAATAACACCAAAGCCCAGCAAAGTTGTAGAGTAATTGAGGCAAACCTAAGCTCTGTGTTTGTTCTTTAAAATTCTGCTGTGCATTGATTTTCCTATAAGGTCGCTTAGGATATCCTAGCTCGACAAGGCGAACCATCTTCAGCTCTGGGAAGAAATGAAGAAAATAAACAATTACCAGCCTCTATCCATGAGTTATTTTCCTCCAATAGAAAATAAATAAAGAGCCAGACATATGAAGGATAACTACTAGATAACTTCTGTGCTTCTTCTGCAGTCAAATAAGCATTAAATGTTGACAGACCAATGAACTCATGGAAGGAGCGCACTTCAGACTTGTCACTGTAGCAAGAAAACATATAGTACTAGTGAATTAGTGAACAGCACAAACATATGATCTAATAGAAGTCAGGCCAGCAACTGCTTTTGTTTACCATTTAAGGTTGAGCTCATCCAGCAGAAAAGCTATCTGTTCATCTCGCTGTTTCTTTGTTTTTATTTCTACCCGATACCACTGCAGTTGCATGATGTACAACAGTGTAATGTAGCATTCAGTAATTTTAAGTTTTGAAAACATGTCTAGCAGTACAATAAAAGAAATGAACGTGAAAATAGTGCAATAACTATTTACATAGAGGTATCAGGTCATAACTATTTAGGCTGACAAAATCAAAGCAATAACACATACACTTCTATACACGTCGTCGAGAAGAGGGTAGGGCTCATATTTGCTATAAGCAGGTTTAGAAGCCTCTCTGCAATTAGCCTCTGAAAGAATATACAAGTCCAAGAAAAGCATCAATTAACAACCAGTGATAGATAAACCACACTGAAGCATGTCTAAACCCTGAATACCCTTCACCTTTCTCCAAACACAACAAACCACCCCCGGCCCTCAACACACACACACACACATGCCAGTTCCACAACATACAAGCTAGCTGAACACGATGAAGTCGAAAAAACATTGAATAACCTGGGCGGGGGAAAGCATAAAGATTAAGGAACACATAATTGAAGGAGTGAGGCATACCCGGGCTGACTTTTTGTTTCTTTGTTTTTTGTCTAGCATCGACTTTCCTTTTAATTTCATTTCTTCTGATTTTCTTTCGCTCTTCCCTAACTCGTTGTGGATAACCAGATCTTAGAGAACAGACAATACCTGAAGCTGAGGAAAAGAGAAAAACAAAAGAAATAAACATAAAAAGGTTCTTTTTTCCTAAGGGGGAATAGAGAAAGGGCCGTAGTAGAGAAGGAAACTAACCAAACAATTTAGCTGTTTCTTTTTCATTCACTAGAGCATAAAATTCAAATGGACTACTGTATTCGTGCATGGATTGGACCTCAGACTTATCACTGGTGTTTGAAACATAAATAATCATGGATTAGGAACAAAAACCAAAATACTCATTCAGATAAAAGTCAAGAAAAAGAAACAATTGGGTTTACCATTGAAGCACATCTTCCAGCAAAGCAACTTGTTCATCAGGCCCTTTCTGCACCCATAATCGTACACATAACCACTGCAGTAGCATCATATAGAGTAGTGAGATGAGATTGATTGGTGTGCATACTTTTTATGTTAAAAGATGTCAATATGAACAAGACCATTTTCAGATGCCACTATTGTTTCTGAAAGAGAATACCGCATACCTCTCTAGCTGTGTCCCGGAGATTAGGAGATTCCCAGAAAGGCTGGACTGAAAATATAGAAATTATAAAACAATTAGCCAAAACAAAACCATCAGATTGCATAATGTGTACCGTATATTACAAGATGGGAAACAAAACGCAAGAATATTTAAGGAAACCTTGTTTTTCTAGATCTATGATAAAGTCTTGCTCCTCAGATTCCCCATCAGATTGGGCAGTCGAGTCTGATTCAATAGCATTTGAATCAACAGAATTACCAAATTAAATCCAGAAAAAGGTTAGCCTAAAATCTATATGCACGAAGCCACGAAGGATAATACCCGTCATACCTTTATCTTCTTGGCCTGTGTTCTTTTCCGGCTTCAATGCATCATCGGCAGTCATCTGCTTGTATGAGGTAGAAAATTATATTATTCCCAATTGAAATTATTAAGGAATTTAGGGTTTGATGACAAAACATTAAGAAAAGGGAAAGAAAACTATGGAGTAACTTCTATTGATAGACAAGTAAGAAAACCTTCGCCAGAGATCCCATCCGAGAATCGAAACAATCGCGGACTGGACTATGAAAATAATCTGCAACCGTTCCCGCTCAATTGTAATGAGGTGCGTGTTTGTCACATTAGCAGAACATGCAGTTTTAAAAGAATACAAAATTCCTTAAAAAAAAAGCATAGGAAACATTTGTTAGAATACCTCTAGTCCCTCAAATGATGCAGGTATTGTGTTCAAAGTCACTTATAACTAATCTCTTCTATAACTACATTGCATAAATCCTAAAGAAACTATGAGATTTTTAGTGAGTTAAGTCTTTAAAAAAAACAATCTTAGCTTTGTTTTTCTTACAATTTTGAACACAACAAACTTTTCATAAATGTAAATGTTAATACCTCTGTTCTATAACTTTTGCATATGCAGATATATGTCAATACCTATGATTTCTTTAGGATTCATATGTGCTTCATGCAATTTTATTAGTTTAATGTTTAAGGTGGTAAAAATAAATTAGAAGCATGCCATTAGTATTGATAATCAATTTGGCAATTTTCGTCCCTCTATTCCTCTATATACAACGGTAGCAAAAAAATCTCCTCGCTCAAATCTTTCGCACTTCAATGGCAAAGTAGATTTTTTGCATGGAACAATTGCCTACCTACCCACGATTGTTCCATTAATGTAAATCCACATCTCTCCATGGTCATCTTCAATTCTTCTTATTTCTAAACTCACTAATACCCTTTCCTTCAAGAAGAACCGGAAGAAGCTCTTCGGCCCAATCAAAGAAGAATCAAAAGAAGCCTAATTGTGCATATAATCTACAACTGTGGAGGGAGATCGGGAAAAAATAAGGTGCCAGCCTAGGGTTTATATCTTGGCTAGGTTCGACAAAAACAAATATGGCTATTAAAAGGTTTGACATCTGCTTCAGAGTTTAGACAATGATGGAAAGCAGCAGCGACACGGGCTTCTAGACAGACAGTACATCTTTCGGTGATGGCTGAACATGGTGAGGATAGGTCTGCTTCTGATGGCTGAATGTGACGGTGATTTGGGCTTCTGGACGGAAAGGTAGTTGGATCGTGATTGTTAATTTTTTTTTAAATTTATCTTTTACCTTTTGAAATTTCATTACAACGCATGTGTGTTCTGTAACATGAAATAGCTAATTCATTTCTTTGTGTTGGCCTATAGTTAGAAGATCGACTCATTGGTATTGCTCAAACGTAGGAGTTTGATGAGTTTATAGTCGGGATTCCCTTATCCTGTGTTTGGAAGAAGACTTCATAATCAAACAAAGTTCATAACTGCAGCCAACTAATCAGAGAAATTAGTGGATGCTCACCCTGAGATTGGAACTCCTAGCATTTCTCTACTCAAAGTTCCTACGCCACAGCCAAAATGCTCTATTTGGTTTGGATGAATCTCATTATGTTGTTACAACAACCACCAACAAAATAAGATTATTAGTAGATGGTAACGAAAGGGAATTACAACACTGATTTTGTGACCAAACAAATTATCACCTTTCCATGATTTTGATTACGAAGACTTCCGCCATGGCTTTATAGGGGAATGATCTCTAGACTTTTTTGGCACTCACTCACTTCCCTTTCCATTATACTCCGTACTACCCTTTTATTGTATTGTGGCTTATTGCCTCTTGGGAGTTCTCCCCTTCTATTCCACTGTGGCTTACCTTTTTTATTAATAAAATTTTTTGCTTTAATAAATTCTTTATGGTGGTATATATTCTTCCTGTCCGAATAACAAAGTCACAATTTGACTTTATACATAAAAGTGGAAGTAATCGAGGTCTATAGAAAAAAAGTAGGTGAAATAAGTAGAAAAATTGTACTCAGTACTATTTTTAGTACTATTAGATAAATCAAGTATGCAAGTCTGAATTTAATTTTGAAATATCCAAAATGAAAAATGTGATTTTAATTTTAAAATGGTGAAAACTATTTTTTAGTGATATAATATCATTTTCCCCTTAAATCATATGAGTAGCATTTGTTACATTAAAACACATAAAATATATCAAAATGTAGAGAATATACCAAAATAAGTGTTCAATATTTTTTATTTTCAAAATAAGAGTTTGCACTATGATAATATGACACTATATATATAGACATTTCACAATATTTTTTGGTATTATATATATGCATGATTACCATTGTATATGCATTTTCACTCTTATTTTGAGATTAAAAACATGAAATTTATATTTTGATATATTTTTATGTTTCACTTTTACTTTAGTTTTTTCCATTATTTTTATCACACAAATTAGTGATATACAAAATTGGAAACAAAAATTTATTTAATTGATATTAATTTTAAAAAGTAAGGAATATAAGAGCACGATTCATACAAAAGTTACTAGTATAGTTTGAGACTAAATATAATGGCATCGAATAAAATAAAAAGATATAAATTATTTAAAAAATAGAATATAATTTATTTAATCAAAATATAAAATTAATAAAATAAATTTTTTGTTTCATCATTTTTTACTTTTCTTTAACTCCTCTAATTTTTACAACTTTTTCTATTGTTTTCAATATCCAACTCTATTTTTGAAAGGTAAACCCTCCTAAACAGTACAGAGGGCGTACATGAGGTTTTACCGGTTTTACCCAAAGAAGACAATCACTTTGGGAGCTTCTTCTCCTCTCACAGTTGTCGCCTAAACGCCTCTCCGTAGGGTTGCTGCAGATTTCCGCGGCCTCCGTCTTCTTCATCATATAGTCTCCCCCCTATACACACACGCACTGTTTCTCATCTTCCATCTCTTTGTATTTCGCCATTCCCCCCGTCTTCCGCTCTGCTCCCTGCTCTGCAACCTCCGACAATGGGCGCTTCGCTTCCTCCCAAAGAGGCCAACCTCTTCAAAGCCGTCGTTGTGAGTTTTTATTTCCTCAATACTCTCCGTCTTCTTCCCGGAGATTCGCGTTTTTTTGTTGTTGTTGCTCGTTCGGATTTGTTGCGTAGTTTAATCGAGACAGTAACCCTAGATTTCATGCTTATGATTGCTCTGATCAGTCCGCCTTCTGTGGTTTACTCATATGCTTCTTTGTCGTAGTTTGAGCATGAGCGGGTTGAATTTCAATTGGCTGGTTGATTTTTGTGTGCATGTGTGAAAAAAAATCAATTTTTTTTGATTGGAGGAGCATCAGCTGCCAGTGAGAAGAAGCGTAGCATTTTCAGTGACATAGTTAATGCCTTTCAGTGTGTGTTTAAAATGTTAGAATGGCTGTAATGAGATTACTATTCCATTTGGAGCAGTAGTGTAGTGGACAGACTTATTAAAAAAAGGGGTTAGACTTTCACATTATTTTCAGTGTACGTATTCTAGAGAGGTAGCATTCTTCAGTTGTCGTTCTGATTGGTTTTACCCAGCTGGTGCTTCTGCTATGTATGTGTTTGATTAACGATTGAACTTTCACATTCAAGTTACGTGTAAAAAAAAAGAATTGATCAGCAGCAGTTCATGACGCTGTAATTTTCAATCAGGAACACTAAACGCATGCAAGATGGTCTCATTGTGAGATTATAGTTGATTTTTTGTAAAAACATTTTAATCGTGACCATAAGTGAAAGCATCATTTTTTAGAAACTAATAGTATAATACTTCCACCGTCTTGTGGTAAAACTGACACTTTAATTTCATGGAGTTTAAGAGAAGTGTAGAAAAATAAAAAGTGTGGTTGAAATTTGTTTAGGAGAGAGAAATGTTGTGAGCCACATAGGAAAGTAAGGAAGTATATAGTTTATTTTGGGACGCCCAATACGAAAAGTGGAAACTTTATTACGGTACTGCTACTGAGGGAGTCTGTATTACTGTATACAACAACACAGCCTTATCTCAAGTAACTTGGGGTCAGCGTTATTAACTTTATAGTAGATTGGATATGTTTGACTTCTGAGCAAACACGTGCTATCTGGTTGTTCGACTTGTCACAAGAGATCTGTACCTTTTAAATGTAGTCCATCTAATGGAAGATTTCTTTTACCTTGATGCCTCATGAATTCTAAATTAATGTCATCAAGGGGTTGATATTGTAAGCATTATGCTTATCAATGTTGGAGGTCTTTTTTTGTATTTGAATTTTGCATTGCACTTGCTACCTATACATTGATTTACATAACATTTTGCTGAATGTATTCCATTTGCTATGCAGAAATCATATGAGACAAAACAATATAAGAAAGGGTTAAAAGCTGCCGAGGCTATACTTAAGAAGTTTCCTAATCATGGAGGTATTTCGAATGTTATTATTGATTAGTATTTTATACGTTGTAGATTTTATGCTGGTAAATATCTACTCTTTGTGAAGTACTGGGTTTTGATCATTTAGCATTCTTTGACAAATTCCTGGCAGTGTGAATTTTACTTTAAAAATCTCATCCAGTTTAGCCTTAATTGGAGTCATGATGTCATTTCCTGCATTTTATTTGTTGTTTATTTTAATATTCCCAACTTCTGCATGGCCACCAGAAACTCTTGCGATGAAAGGGTTGACATTAAATTGTATGGGCCGCAAATCAGAAGCATATGACCTTGTTCGGATAGGATTGAAGGTATACTTCAATTCTTCAGTATTACTTCTTGGAAATATACCTGCCCTAATGTCCTATTGCTTATGAAGTATGAATGGCATGATTAACTGCTCTTCTCGCTTTGCAGAATGATCTTAAGAGTCATGTTTGCTGGCACGTTTATGGTCTTCTATACAGGTCAGACAGAGAATACAGGGAAGCAATAAAGTGCTATAGAAATGCACTTAGAATTGACCCTGACAACATTGAGATATTACGGGACTTGTCTCTGTTACAGGTAAAAACTTTCACCTTTAAAGTCCTTATTTTTTCCCTTGAGTTTGCCTAAATGCCATAGATCACTAAATATGTCAAAGAGGCCAATTATGCTTGGAGACAGAATATTGCTATAACTTCCAATCATAGAAAGTATATCAAGTGTGATGAGTATTTTAAAGTTATAAATTCATCTTTTAGGACTGTTGAGATCTCGACTGTTTGATGCACAAGGACTGGATAAAGTGGAAACAAACAAAGAAAGTCAAATTTGTGGGAGATGGCGATTTTTGTTTTTGAGTTGTTCGGTTGTTACATTGTTAACATTATGTCTATGAAAATAGTGTTGATGTGATAAAGTTTGGTTATATGCATAGTTATTGGCTTATTGTCACATGCTTATAATACTGTGCATGATCTTTATAATACTCAAGTCCCACTATTGAACTTTAATTTACTTTCTTTATTTTATTTCCAGAGCTGTTTGTTGTTTTTTATTAAGTTAAAAATAATGTTTGCAAATCAATTTTCTCACAAACATCTCTTTTTATGATTATTATACCTTTTTCTTCTTTTCATGCCTATCATTCACTTAGATTCTTATAAGGAAATAACATTTGGGTTTCTATGCCTCAACAATCTTCGTCATGCACATTTTATTAATATTACTATACATTATGTTCATTTGTTTATTACCATTATTCTCTGTTTTTATGATGTAAATCTAATCAGGTTTTCAAGTACCACCATATATTATTGTTGTTGTTCAAGTTAACTTTATCCTATTGATTTCCACAGGCACAAATGCGTGACTTGACCGGTTTTGTTGAAACAAGACTACAACTGCTGACATTGAAGCCAAATCACCGCATGAATTGGATTGGCTTTGCTGTAGCACAGCATTTAAATTCAAAGTATGATTTCCCTGTGATCTGTTGGGGTGCCATTTTACATGCTTCATATGATTCCCGCGCTTCATGTGCTTCCTTTCACTTGGTTAGGGTGCCATTTCAAATTCCAGAGTTTCACTATTCTGGAATAAGTTTAGTCTGTTGGTTACATTGAATTACTCATTCTTTCCGATTATATACACATTTACTTTACTTTTGATCGCTACACTCCCTCTTCTTTTTCTCTGCCCATTTCGGTTTACGATGGAAGTCATTCTCAATTGAATTTATTTGAAAATTGGTCACCTGTGAATGGGTCAAGTAAAAAAGAATCAGAGGAAGTAATATATATAATTTCTCTATAGGAAGATTATACATTGTACAACGATGTGCTTAGTTCTTTTTCTATTTAGTAAGATGAGAAGATGGAACATCACCTGTGATTCTGTTCACGAAAATGAATTGGACTATATTTGGTGAAGCCAGTCCATTAAAATATTTTGTTTTTTTTCCTTCAATTTTTTCCAGTGCATCAAAAGCTGTTGATATCCTTGAGGCGTATGAAGGGACTCTAGAGGATGATTACCCTCCAGAAAATGAATGCCGTGAGCATGGGGAGATGCTTTTATATAAGGTAATATTTTGAGTTACAAAGTTTCTCCACTCTTGTCAATAACTAAGCTTTGTTTTGGGTCAGTTGATGTTTTTTTCCTTTCATGAAAACTTAGAGAATTTGTTTGGTTATTTGATATATTGTTCAAAGTCTGTACCAGATGTAGTGAATCTAGTTGATTCAACTGTATATTACCTCTAGCTCAAAATGAAGTTTACAATTACTTTGGAGGGCATGATTGTGTTGTTGATATTGTTTTTTTCATTTCTTAATAAATCTCATCCACAACATTTTGAGATGGAGGGAGTGTCTTTATTTTCAAATTCATACGAGTGTTTAGCTTTTAGTCTTATGGTTGGTTAGGCTCATATGTTGAACTATGAGAGTTTAATTACAGCTGTTTCAGTTACCTGCTAGTCTGCCTAGGTATGAATGTGTTGACTTTTAATTATATGTTCAATTGATGCTTTTACCAATAATTTGATGTGGATGCAACATTTTCGGCTAGATCTCTTTATTAGAGGAAAGTGGATCTTTTGATAGAGCTCTTGAAGAATTGCACAAGAAAGAACCTAAAATTGTAAGTTTTTATCTGAAATTATTGGATACATGTAAATAAAATTTCAGTTTTGGTGGTACGTTCAGCCATTATACTTTTGAGTGTTCCTGATGCAACGAATGCCCCTTAGGTTGATAAACTGGGGTACAAAGAACAAGAAGGTCACCTTCTTTTGAAGCTTCGCCAATTCGAAGAAGGAGAAAAATTGTACACGATGTTGCTATCTATGAACCCTGATAATTATAGGTATATCGAATACCATGTTATTGCTGTTTGCAATTGGTGTTTTCTTCTCTCTGAAGCACTGCATTGTTAATGTCTTAATTATTACAGTATATAGCTTAATGGCTATACTGATATACACAAATCATGTCAAGCCCCACTGCAAAACACTGCAAAATGGGTTAGCGTCTTGTATGGGAAACTATTTGGCCACCTACATTTTAATATTTTGCAAGCCATTTCTACTATGTTTTCAATTGGAAAGGACCATATCACCAGTTTATAATGAAGTGCTAGTCCTTGATTTGTTAGTAAAAAAATCATCCTGTGCTCCATGATGTCTGTTTGGTGTGCAGGGGAAGGGGGGAGTAGGTTTCATTAAACACAATATGGCATTTGCATTTGAGATGGTTAAGTATATATCTAATAGTGGTTTTGCTGTTAGATACTATGAGGGGTTACAAAGGTGTCTTGGACTTTACTCTGAAGATGCCAAATATTCTTCTGATGAAATTGATCGTTTAGCAGCTCTTTATGAATCCCTTGCACAACAGTATCATAGATCATCTGCAGTAAAGGTTGGGCTTGCGTTTCTGGACACCTCATTGCTGCCTTATAATATTTCTTCTCATGTCTCTTGATATGCTTACCGAGTTCTATTATTTTGAATGACTGATATAATAGCTTATACATGTATAATGATTGATAAGTCTTTGGACTAACATTTGAAGTTAGTAACTTTCTAACATTTACATTGTAAAACATCTGATTGTCATTTGACAAGGTTGATTACATAGCAGTTTCATCACTTTCCTATTTGAGAGGTGTAACAGAACATGCCAGAGTTTGTTTCACACATATACGTGTAAAATATAACCCCTTTGTTTAAGCAGAATTGACCACTTAGTCACTTACTAGAGTTTTATAATTCAGTAAATAATTGTGATATTTTCCTATTTGCAGAGAATTCCTCTTGATTTTCTGACGGGAGAAAAATTCCTGGATGCAGCAGGGAACTATATTAGACCCCTCCTGACTAAAGTAGGCAATGATTTCAGTATCTTGTTTAATGATTTATTGGAGTTTTGATCAGTCCCTCAGTGAAACTTACTTGAATTTTCTTAATGCATGTCTAGGGAGTTCCTTCATTGTTTTCTGATCTCTCCCCTCTTTATGATCACCCAGAAAAGGTCTGTAAAGATCTTATAGCTTGTTCGTATATGCACAGTTACTATGATCTTATTCAACTTCTCTTATTCTTTTAATTTTTTTTTTGCAGGCAGAGATTCTAGAACAACTTGTTCTGAAGTTGGAGCACTCGGTCAGGACAAATGGTTCTTATCCTGGGAGGTAGTGCACCTTTATTTAAACAATGCACCCACGATGAAATATGCAAAGTTTTTTTCTTTTGTCGTAAGATGTGGGGTTCGTCACTTCCTCTATATTTTATTTGAAATACCACATAGTGACATTATTCTTGCAATGATTTATTTATTTACTCCGTATTAAGCACGAAGAATTTATCATGGCAATAAACTTAAAACCTATAAAAGGAGAAAGTTTGACAAAATGACCTTAAAACTTTGTGTACTGACTCCGAATTGCCAAAGTGCAATAACGCTTTTTATCTACCAATGCTCGACAAATTTGAATATTACCTAATGGCATCCCTCTTGACATGGCTCTAGATATAGGATTGAGGATACCCCCTAGTGGTAATATGGTATCATAACATATCAAGGCACTGTAAATTTCCCAATAAAGTGGCTCTGTAGCGATGTATCTGGCATGCTTCAGTTTTAGTGTAAAATTTATTGCATTAAAACTCACAGTAATGCAATTTTGTCTTAAATTCTGATTGGTGCACAGTGAGGATAAAGAACCCCCTTCAACACTTATGTGGACTTTATATTATCTGGCTCAGGTTTGCTACTATTTTAATCTTACTAGTAATATCTGTTGTAGCCTTCAAAAAAAAAAATAATGTCTGTTGTATTTGGGCTTCATTCCTTTTGTTGTGCCCCACCCCCACCCTAACTGAAATTCTTAAAGAAAATCTGATGTTGCAGCATTATGATAGACGCAGTGAGTATGATGCCGCTCTGTCAAAGATTGATGAGGCCATTGAACACACTCCAACTGTAATTGATTTATACTTGGTCAAGGTATGTTTACCCCATGTAGTTCATATGATTTTTCTCCTACTATTTCTCCTACAGTAGTTTCTTTTTGCGTGAGTGTACTTTGTTTCGTAATGGGATGCATACTTGGACTTAATGTTGCATTAAATGTAAATGTTTCACTATTGCTTTTGTTTATAGATCACATTTCATCATGAAACTGATTCTAAATTGATCTTGTGCTTTAGATTGTTTTTTATCATATAACACTATTTGAATGCGGTTAAGGGATATTCTCACTGCATTAACATAACTTGGAGAAGCAAAACTTTGTCCAAAGTTGTGCTTAGAACTCATTTTTTGGCAAAAAATGCTTTAAATATTAAATATTTTAAGGCTACAACTCTCTACTTTCCAGCTTCTAGTTCAGGAGTTCCTCATTATATCTATGCTGTTTTCTATTCAGAGCCGCATATTAAAGCATGCTGGTGACATTCCAGCAGCAGCTGCATTGGCTGATGAAGCTAGGTGTATGGATCTTGCAGATCGTTATCTTAATAGTGAATGTGTGAAGCGTATGTTGCAGGCTGATCAGGTTATTACATTTAAGAATATATTTATCCCAGCTGCAGAACTTCCATGTGTAATACTGTAATCTGACATTAGTGTTATTCCTGTGATTGAATATGCTTTCTCTCTGTGAATTTATTTGAAGGTTGCTTTGGCTGAAAAGACAGCAGTATTGTTCACAAAAGATGGGGATCAGCATAATAATCTTTATGATATGCAGTGCATGTGGTATGCTCTAATTTTCTTGAAATGCGATCACAAATTTTGTTATGTTCAGTTTGGATGAAGTATTCAGAATAGTTTTAGAGCGAGAGGCTTTGCAGGGCTTAGTCTATAACTTTATAAACAGAATATGTCTAAAAATGAATAATGGGCAATTGAAATGTTATAGCCATGTGTTCCCCCGGCTCCTATAACACACACACACACACACAAAGCCATACAAACTGGGTCTTCTGTTATGTAATTTTGTTTCAGTCTCACAGCTACTGTGTTTCAAACTTTTTCAAGGTATGAAATAGCATCTGGGGAAAGCTATCTGCGGCAAGGGGATCTTGGGCGAGCTTTGAAGAAATTCTTAGCTGTGGAAAAACATTATTCTGATATCACTGAGGACCAATTTGATTTCCATTCATATTGCTTAAGAAAAATGACACTTAGAACATATGTGGAAATGCTGAAGCTTCAAGACAGGCTCCATTCATATGCTTATTTTCGTAAAGCGGCTGCAGGTGCCATAAGGTAGATGCTTTTGTTTTGCTTTGTAGTCTGAGCATTTGATGTGAATATAGTGTTTTACCAGCTTTCTGTTGTATGAAATTAATTATTCTGCTTTTAGATATAATAATTCCGTCTTCGTGGTTGTGGAATACACTGGGTTTATTGTTATTGCAATTCTGTCTTTGTAATTCTTTTCCTAAAATGCAATCTTTTTTAATATTTGCTCAGATGCTACTTGAGGCTGTATGATTCTCCTTCAAAGTCAGCAAATGAAGAGGATAATGAAATGTCAAAGCTCCCATCAGCTCAGAAAAAAAAATTAAGACAAAAACAAAGGAAAGCCGAAGCCCGAGCTAAGAAAGTAATTACGTTGGCTCCCTATTCGTTTTGACACCATTAAGTAGTTTCCAATTAATCACTTTTAATGCTTTTAGGAGGCAGAGGTGAAAAGCGAGGAATCTAGTGCATCAGGTGTATCTAAGTTAGGAAAACGTCAGGTGAAAGCAGTTGATCCTGATCCAAATGGAGACCAATTGTTGCAGGTGGGCTATTGTGTCATTGTTTTTTGTTTAAACCAATTTGCTTATAATTGGATTATCGCATCTTCATCTTTATTCTTTGCTGGATGAGATCTTTGACACCTTGGAGCCTTTGCTGTGTGCAGGTTGAGGATCCTCTGGTGGAAGCAACAAAGTACTTGAAGCTTCTGCAAAAACATTCTCCCGATTCGTTGGAAACACATTTGCTTTCATATGAAGTAAACATAAGGAAACAGAAAATTTTGCTTGCTTTGCAGGTAGGTTTACTTTCATATTTCATAATTCCCGTTTGGTTCATGTTTTTATATATTTGTTGATCATTTGTTATTCAACTCATCACTTACCTCTTTAGGTGGCAGATTCATTTCTAGTTTCTTACATATTAAACTTTCAATAATATTTGTGTATTTAAGTGTGACCACAAATGTAGTCTTTGTCTAATCATTTTTCTTGGATCAATCATATGAAGAATTGTAGATCCCTCCTGTCAATAAGTTAATTGGCTAATCATTTGGTTGTGCAGGCTGTAAAACATCTAGTACGGTTGGATGCTGATAGTCCTGATTCACATCGTTGCCTGGTAAATTGTTTCTATTTCAACAAGTTGCATATTGTTCTATTTTGTGGCAGTAATTGTGACAGTGTTATTTCTTGTAGATAAAATTCTTCCATAAGGCAGGGTCTTTGTCAATTCCAGTTACTGATGCTGAGAAACTTGTATGTGAGGTCTTGGAAGCAGAGCGACTAACCTTTAGGTTCTCTCATCTTTTGCACTGAGTTTAAATTCTTTAGTGAAAGCTTATTGCTATATTTACGTACTAGATATTTGATTGGAATTAATGCAGCACACAATTGCTCTTCCCATTTTGTTTTCACATGAAAATCAAGGAGGCGAAATCATGTTGTTGAGATTTGTTAAGAAAAAAATCAATGGCAACCACACATTTTTTTGCTTAAAAAGGAAAGGGAAAAACTTTTTGGGATGGAAAATAAAAGGGAAGTGGGAAAAACATTTACACTGTGTTTGGTTCAAGGAATTTGAAAGGGAAAAGAAAAGAAAATGAAGTAGAAAGCAGTTTTTCTTGTTTGATTAAAGAGGAAAAGAAAGGAAAAGTGTAAGGAAAAGAAAATGAGAAGGCAAAATGTACTAAGTAGATGGAAAACCAAAATCCTCCCATTTTCCTTCAAAATCATTTTCTTTTCTTTTCCTTTCAAATTCCTTGAACCAAACATAGTGTTAGAGATGGGGTAAGAGTGCTGGGCTAAAAATTTATCGCTTGTGGAAATTGAGCAATTCGGAAACCTTTTGCAAAGTGATACTCTGTCGTTTTAGACTTTTAGCCCAAAAATATTAATCCCTCCGTCACTTTTTTTAAACAGTATTCTCTTTTACTATTCCCATTTTCAAATTATATTCTTTTTCTTAACATTTTTCATTAATATTTTGATAAAATAATATAGTCATGTCGCCTCTTGTGTTGTAGAAGTTTTGATGTAGTGTGTGTGTGTATATATATATATATTTATAACAATTACACCAATATGTAAATAAATTGAAATTGTAAGATTATTTAAGGATGGGGGGAGTAGTTCAGAGCTGAATATACTAGGTCACTCACCCTTCCCCGTTCCCCCACCTTCTTGGCTTGACAGATTGTTGAGGAAACTAGGAGACACAGAGACATCAACATTCTAATATTTTTTGGTTTGACCAATACACGAGGAATTTCACTAAATAAATAAAACCATAAATGAGAAATGCAGAATAGGTTAAGACAGTTCAAGTAGGAAAGTAAGGAAATGTAAACTTTATTTTGGGAAAACCTGGAAGTGTAAAATTTATTTTAGGATGGAGTGAGTCATTGTTTCGGCTAACAAGTGTTTCTCTATTTTTGTCTTACTGCTGCATAGAGTGATTCCTCCACCCTCCATATTTCAATTTATATGAAAAATGTGTAACCATGTGTGGTCTATCACTCTCTATTTTTTTATCTGCTCATCCTCGGCTATGTATCCCCCATGAATTTTTGCAGCCAGCTGCAAGGGAAGACTCTAATTGATGCAAACAGAACATTCCTTGAAAAACATAAAGGTAACTACTCTTTTGCTAGGTCTGATACTCTCTCATCATCACCACCACCTTAATTGCAACTATATCGGGATCATTTACAAGAAATTTATTGTCAAATCTAAAATTATGGAACACTAACTAAATGCAAAAACAAGGATGTATGGTAACTCTTTGTCCCAAAAAATGAATTTCCAAAAGTTTCATGTGCTTTTGTTTTTTATCTGGTACTCACTTGGAAATGGTCTCTACTTCCAAGTAGGTTTAAGGTTTGCATTCACACGCCTCTCTAGACCCTACTGTAGTGGGACTTAAGTGGATTTGTCGTATTCATGTTACGATTGTTAGCAATACTTGTGCAAATCTGCCCACTACAAGTGAGACTAGCGTGCACATGTGTGTGCATTGTAGCTCAGTTGCGTGTCATTACTTTTAGCCCTTTAAGTTATCATAAAATGACAATTTGATGGTTTTGGTTCTTTACAGATTCATTGATTCATAGGACTGCTGTAGCAGAGTCGCTGCATGTTCTTGAGCCAAACAAGAAGGCAGATGCAGTTAAATTAATTGAAGATTCTGCAATGGGCCCAATTTCAATGTAAGAGCTACTGACATTCGTTTTATTTATACGATGGTTAAACCTCATCCCAATAATTTTCATATCGTCCACTTCCCAAAGTAGAAATGGAGCACACAGGTCATCAAGAAGCTGGATGCTCAAGGACTGCATTGCTGTGCACAAATGTCTAGATACAAATTTGGATGATCGTGATGCAGCATTGAGTAAATCCTTTTCTGCATCATACTGTTCATACATCATCATGTTGTCTTCTCTTATATCCAATACTCCCTCCGTCCCATTGATTTCTTTACAATGAGGTTTAAGATGCTCGAATGATGTTATTTTCAAATCATTTTATTTAAACATTGGGGTAGAATAATAATAAAATTTTTATATTTTAAAATTACATCAAAAGATTTACGGAGTATAAAACAAGAGTATAAAACAAGAGGTGACAATACATGACTATATTATTTTTTTAAATGGTGGATTATGTGAATAGTATTTGTAAAGAATCCATCAAGACGGAGGGAGTAGTAACTAATATGGAAGTTCAAATTTGATCTAAGAGTATCTTTAAAGGAAAATGAGAACTTGATTGAAAGACAAAGTGAATAACACTTCAGTCCAATATCTTATTGTTGAAAAGCTCCATTCCTTTTCAAGAAAATAAATGATTTTGTTCAACTCCCATATGTTGTCAACTTTCCAACTGGTTCCACCGAGTTTGTAAAAACTACAAACACGGCCCTCGTTCTCATTTCTTCAAACGAGAACAAAAGATAGTTTGTAACAAGACTAAATCTTGCAGGATGGAAGGAACGTTGTGCCGAGTACTTCCCATATTCTACCTACTTTGGAGGGTCTCGCAGCTCAGTTACTACTGGACACCTTACACGACAAACTCCAGGAAATGGGGCAGCTGCCCTAAATGCTGACCTAAAAGCGGGCCACCTTCCTTCAAATGGAATATTACAGAATCTTGATGGTTTCAAGGATCTTGTCATCTAATTTAATCACATACGTCTCGACCTCTGAGATAACTTGTGGGACAAAGCGAGGAGGAGCACAAGGCTGAAGGTATAAGAAAAAGACCTGAATCTAAGACCCTTTGGTACCCTATAGAAATTGAAAGTTTTCCCATGATCTTAAGGAGTTTTGGGACTCCATTTTTTTTGGTTTTATCTGCTGTTCTCCGTCGATCCGGGTTCCTTTTTCCCCCTCTTTTTGACTGTATATATATATGCTCCAGCATGCAGAGAGTAGTTGCATTATTTAGTTAGTGAAAATGCTGGAAAACATATTTTCCTTGGCAACATTTTGGGACAAGCAAAAGGGCCTTTTCTCTAAAGTGTAGGGGCAGATGTCCTAAGAGATTAAGAGCAAATGCTCATAGCCAGGCATCCTCTGGAGCATGTTGTAATTTTTTTAAAAAAAAAAATTCCGCTGGGCATATTATTTGGTGTGCTAGACAGTATTATTTCTGGATTTTCCCCCCTTCATTATCATCTGTTTGAGGAAAAGTGCAGTAGTTAAGCATCGTTCTGTTCAATTTATTTTTTCTGTTTATTACTTATTCTTATTATAATTTATAATTAGATCAGATCAAATAAAAAACAACTTTAATTATAACTGCTTTTAGATCAGATTAGATAGATCAGATCAGACCAGATTAGATTTTCAAAAAATTAGATTTGATCAGATCAGGCAAACGGAATGTAGCCTTACTTGATGTTTGATATCATGAATGTAGAATAAGATTGGTTTGTAGAGTATTTGGTGAATAGTTTAAAAATGAGATTAGTTGTATATTTGGATGAAAATTTAAAAATTACTCCGTATAATGTTAATTGAACGAGGTGAATTTCTAAAATCCGATTCTCAGATTTCGGAATACAACCGATTTTTCCAAAATCATAAAAAAATGTTAATATTGTGTTGATTTTGGAATCAGGGTGCATTTTTGGGTGAATAATGAATTGGAATCGCTTGGACCATGCTAGGGTGCCACCAAATGGGTGCTACCATGGGTGTATCCATGCTTCACACAGACAAACACAGACGATAATTGTCTGTGCGACACAGACAATTATCGTCTGTGTTTGTCTGTGTGAAGCATGGGTGCACCCATGGTAGCACCCATGTGGTGGCACCCTAGCATTTTCCTAATCGCTTAGTTCAAAATGTCTTAATTTTTCAAACGAGCATGTTAACAATGCTCCCATCTTAATTCAGGGTCAAAGTTTGTAAACTTACTTTCAATTTGTTGAAAAAAATATGTTGTATTATGATTTAAATTTAAGATTAATATATTCCTAATGAAATGCAGTTTTGAGATATATCAAATTTTTATAAAATATATCTATGTATAATTATAGATACTAAATATCAAAGTATAATACGGGAGACCTTGAAAAATCATATGAAAAGAACATATTCGGACGGAAGGAGGAACTTATTACTCGGTTTAATCCTTTATATATAAAAAAGGAGAGTTGAACTCTCAGAATCGCGACATTTGGCATGCTGACTGGGATTATTTTTTTGACACTTCATCAGTCATGTCATCAAAATGGACTTCCTCAATATTTCAAACGGGTTGGATAATGATTCATTTATTTGGGCGACTCTATTTGTGAGACTGTGACATTCATCCGCAAGTCTCAACGCAAGAAGGAAACAAGATATCAGCGAACATGTGGAACTTTCCTTTGATTGCACCTCCATGCGATAATCATCTTCGAACGGCTCCACCGCGAGATATCAACGAAAATGTGATTGGAACTTTCCTTCAATTGCTCCTCCCTGCGATAATCATATTCGATCAGTCTTCCAGGCACATC